TCGCCAGGGGGGTTGAGGAGCCTGGGATTACCAGTGGTTGGAGAGGGGGGAGGCCGTCTGGACTGTTCCCTGGCCTGAGAGGCCCAGGGGTGGGATTTCCTTTCGGGGTTGGGGATACTGTTCGCCACTCAATTCTACCTTGGGTTGGACTGAAAGACCGTCCACTCGGTTGGAACCCTGGGCCCTTGCCCCCGAAGGAACCCATTGGTAGTGGTTCTCTGGATGATTTTCCCTGTTCCCATCTGGGACCAGACTTGCGTCCTGTATTGCGATGTGAAACCTCTTCTCTTCCGAAGGAACTGAACCAATTGTTATGCCCTCTGGACGGACCAGGATTGAAAGAATGAGAGACATAGGCGTGGTCGGACGAGGTGGGTTGAAAGGACTGAGAAAAGTTCTTTGATCTGTTGTCTGAGTCCATTCTGCATTCCTCTGTGTCGTGGCCATTTCTGAAGCAATTGTAACAGAATGGGCAATCATCTGGTTTGTGCCCATGTCTGTTGCATTTGGAGCACCACGGGGTGTTCGAGTTAACCAGATCAGCCACCAGATACTCCTGTCCAGTCCAGACTTTCAGGCGAGGTCTGAAATTTTCCTCTGCGCTGGGTGCAGGTGGAACTTCAGGTTCCCCAGCTTGGGATCATCTGGGTCGCTGATGGGATCGAATTCGTGAATCACCTTTCCCATGGCTGCTTCAATGCCCGTTCTGATGAACATTGAGGCAGCTATGGGAAAACGCATAGCCATGACCCATAAATTTTTCTTTTGATCTTCTTCTCTTCTTTTCCCATTCCGCACGAGGTAACCAAGGGCGAAAATACACAAAATTCATTTTCTTGCCTTCTTTGAAGTTCATTTCTTTTTTCACATTCAGCAACCAGTCCACAACCTTCAGATTCTTTGCCACATACGTCATTTGCCCTCTGCCTTCCATGTGTGTAGTACCCTTTTGTGTGGTGAGCTCTTCTTCTGTTTGGACGGACTCTTCGAGGTATCGGATCAGATCCACCTTCTTATCATTCGACCAATTTTTTGTTGCTCCTTGGAAGACAATTGCTACGGTCATCCTTTTGAGAAAGTCATTATGGACCTGACGGATGTTCTCATTGGGGTGGACCTCAATGCAATCACCTTCGTCACTTATCATGGTTTCTACGTAGTCAGAAACGTCTTGAGATTCGTGGTTCAAGAACCAACCCTCCATCATACCAGTGAGCTTCTGGAGTTCGACTGCATCCATATTCGTTTGGTCCTGTTCTGAAGCCATTCTGTGGTGCTTGGTACAGGATACAGGTGAGTAAGAATGGGGATGGGATTGTTGTCGGTCAGTGGTTGATGGCGGGGTTAGGAGAGGGGTAGCAACTAGTGGGGTACAGAGAAGGGGGAGCGAGTGGGGATTGGATGGTGTCGAATACAGGGATGGCTTTGAAAGAGTCGAAGCGTTCTACTTCTGCTTGGTACGCGGTCGGTGGTGGAAGGAGAGGTTGTCGGGGGTGAGGCGCCTTGCGAGTGAGTGTCGGGGGTGATGATGAGGTGACGGGTAGGTGGGTGTCAGGGATGGGAACAGCGCGCAGGTGAGTGTCGGGGGAAGAAGGGTATTAATTTGGTGTTGTCCGATCTTGGCGATTGCGCGGTCCGTGGCGGGGATATAGATTAGTGTCGGGGATAGGGGGCGCGGTCGGAGATCGGCCTTAAGTACTGTATCAGGGGCGGCGGGGGGACCGGATATAGAGAGCAATGTTGGGGTGGAGTACGAGAGGGCAAGGGTGAAGGGGCCGGTACGAAAGGTTCAGAGAAAATTGACGAGTTAATCTACTCAGAAAAGGACAACAGGTTCGTATACACAAAAGGACAAAGAAAACATCGAGGGGCAAGCGGTAGGTTTGCTGAACTTTCGTGTAGGGTCGAAACGCAGTTGGGTCCTGGTGGCCCGCCGTATAGTGGAGGCAAGTGAACGGACCTCCTACGAATAAATCTCTACTACGAAATCCCGGTATCCGGGACCGAGAGGGAGATTTTGGGTAGGAGTTTAAGTATGGAGGGGGTGTAGGGGTAAAACGCCGCTGTCCGACCGGGTGTATCTTGAGAGGAGGAAAAGGGGGTGAAAGGAGTGGACAGAAGGGGGGAGTATTGAGGGGCCGGGGAATGAGGGGAAATAACGAACAAGTGATGAGAGAGGAGGGAGGGAGGGATCGTACTGGAAAACAGCCTCGAAACCTATTCCTGGGAAGAGACAGCATTAATGGAGGAAAGATTTAGGAATAATTGCGATGGGGGGAGCGTAGGGGAAGTTGAGGTATGCCGGATTTCCATTCGGAGGGAAAGGAGAGGCAGGCGTTGGTCCCACAGCAGCTAGGCTCCAGGTCGAAGTCGAATGTCCAGATCCGGTAAAGAGGAAAATTCTCGATGTAGCGAAGTCACCGAAATAGGGAATCGCTGTTCTTCAGGTGGGTGAAGAAGGCGGGAATGATGAGCTCTCACCGGAAGAAAATGCTTGAAAATGATGAGGTATGCCAATCGATGTTTTCACTTTTTTCACTAAAGAACAACCGCTAGATGCACAGCTCCGGGGCCACGGTCCCATTGGCAAAGAGCATCCGATTGAATGTCTGAATCTGGACCTGTTTGAGGACAGGAGCAGGAAATTGACATCGAACTGCTTTTCTGTATCTCTCTGCATGAAACATAGCCAGAAGCCAGATTCAGGATTTCTATCCTACCCCCTTCGCTAATGGGACCATCCTCCAGATGAATCTCCAACGTTGCGCGGGGTCACACGCGGTGATCTAGTTCACCGATGAACTACCGTCTTCCGCCAAACACAAAGCACCCTAATTTTACCTGCATGGGACCGGAAAGCTAGGTCATATACATTTATAATCAGAGTGCGTTGTGTTCGGGGGAAGACGGTAGTTGAACGGAGTATGTGGGACTTGGTCCCCAGGCCACTCTGGTAGCCTAGCTCTTTTTTTTTTTTTTTTTT